CGTGGTTAATCCCGCCCTGGATCTAGGCGAAAAGAACAAAATCCATAACCACGGCTAGAAAGAGCAATAGTTAGAAAAATTGCCACGTTTGGACGCGAAATATTGTAAAATGAGGAAAGTATATCCGTACAAAATTTGCAAAAATTTTGTTTTACAAATACGCGTAATACAAATTACAAATGCGCGTAATTACGCGCGTAATACAAATTAATAAAACATTTGAAAATTTCGCAGGGCTATATATTTTCTGCATTTTACAACATTTCGCGGCTAAACTTTGCAATTTCACTAATTTTAACATTCTCTTTCTAGTTGTGGTGCTGGATTTTGTTCGTATTGCCTAGATCAAAATGTAGTCTTTTGCTGGAAACGTCCATTGTAAACTGAGATTTATCCCTCTTTTAATTTATTTATTATGAAAACGTTACGAAAGTCGGTTAAAGACAGACCTTTTTAGACTGTTTTACTGGGTACTAATTTTTTCCATTTCGTATGTCAATAATGTATTGCTTGCATTGTCTTCAAATTATATATATTCTGTGCAGTTCTGGAACTTCGGTGTTATAAGTGCGATTTTATTTAAGCTAACTACATCTATGATCACATTATGTAGATAAAAAGAACGTGATAGAGAATTATGAGTGGTTCGTCGATTCCAGCGAAGCAGGAGAAAACGGATGATGTCTGGCGTGTCATTCAATATGAACCAATAGATTTAAAACTGATCAAGAATTTGGTAGAAAAACATGGAATTGATGTAAATAGTGTAAATCCCCATGATCAAACTCTTCTTCATGTTGTTCTTGAGAGATCAGGGTTTCAATTACTCGACATTATTAAGTATTTGGTAGAGCATGGTGCTCCATTAAATAGGGGAGACATATGGGGGAAAACAGTTCTTCACAGCGCTGTAGAGTGTGGATCCTTAGATACTGTCAAATATTTAGTTGAGCATGGTGCGGAAGTAAATAGCAATATTGGGTGGGGCATAACAGCTCTTCACAGTGCGGTAGAACACGGATCACTAGGAATTGTTAAGTTTTTAGTCGAGCATGGTGCAGAAGTGAATGGTAAAGGTTTGTGGGACAAAACGGCCCTTCAAAGAGCTGTAAAATGTGGGTTACTGGATATTGTCAAGTATTTAGTTGAGCATGGTGCTGAAGTAAATGGGAAAGATAATTTTGGCAAAACTGTTCTTCACAGTGCTGTAGAGTATAGATCACTAGATATTGTCAAGTATTTGGTTGAACATGGTGCTGAAGTAAATGGTAAAAATAAGTGGATCTCCACAGTTCTTCACAGTGCAGTAGTGTGTGGATCACTTGAGATTGTCGAACATTTAGTTGAGCATGGTGCTGATGTGAATGGTAAAGATTTGTCGAACAAAACAGTTCTTCAGGTTGCTGTAGAGTATGGATCGCTAGAGGTTGTCAAGTATTTAGTTGAGCGTGGTGCTAAAGTAAATGGAAAAGGTCAGTGGGAAACCTTTCTTTACAGTGCTGCAGAATGCAGATTTCTTGATATTTTCACGTATTTAGTTGCGCATGGTGCTGAAGTATATGGTGAAAGTTTGTGCGTCAAAACAGCTTTTCACAATGCTATAAAATATGGATCACTAGGTGCTGTCATGTGTTTTGTTGAACACGGTGCGGAAGTAAATGGTGTTGGTGTGTCGGGTAGAACACCTCTTCAAAATGCAGTAGAGTATGGATCATTCGAGATTCTCAAGTACTTAGTTGAACATGGTGCTGAAGTAAATGGCAAAGATAAGTGGGGTAAACCATTTCTTCACAATGTAGTGGAGTGTGCATCACTGGAGATTGTCAAGTATTTAGTTGAACATGGCGCTGAAGTAAATGGCAAAGATATGATGGGAAAAACAGCCCTCTACAGTGCTCTAAAGTACGGATCACTAGAGATCGTCAAGTATTTAGTTGAACATGGTGCTGAAGTAAATGGTAAAGATCGGAACAACAAAACGGCACTTCACAATGCTGTCGAGTGCGGATCACTAGACATTGTGAAGTATCTTGTTGAATTTGGCGCTGAGGCAAACGGTAAAGACATTTGGAGCGAAACAATTCTTCACAGTGCGGTAAAGCATAGATTTGTTGACATAATGAAATGTTTAGTTGAAAATGGTGCCGATATCAATTGTACAGATTTTGTTGGCAGGACAGCTGTTGAACTCGCTGTGTGGTTACACGATATAGAACTTGTACAATATTTAGTTGAACATGGTGGTGATGTGCATTCTAAAAGCTGGCTCGGAAACCAAATGGATCTACCCTGTACACTAGAGCTTGGATCAGAAGACAAGTTTAATTACAGATATGGTTTTGAAAATACACATTTTGAGGAATATAAAGGGAAGTTTGATCTTGGTATTGACATTCTAGAGATGGCTGTAGTCCACAATTTGATCGATTTCGTACAGCTTCTTATAGACAAGGACATTGATGTTAGACGAGCTGAAAACGTTCTGATTGAGGAAGGCAAAAAGACTCTTATTGAGCATAGTAGAGAACTTGGTCATCATGAGATTACAAATATTCTAAAGTTGGAATTAAAGAAGTCTGTTAAACACCGTGGGAAAATTCAAATGTTGAAAACAATGAATCACAAACAGTCAAATAAGGTAATACATAAGCATTTAATACTTGGTAAATTCTTATCATATATGACACCTTGGAGTGACAAACTGACGGCAAAATATGAAACTTAGGCATAGCGGGTATTGATATATACCTTTAGCAATAGGTAAAGCTTAACAAGGTTTGAATTTTCTTGTAAATACCAAGATTCGAGCTTATGGTGTTTCAATGTGTGGCAATATTTTTGAGAAAGCTGCGAATGAATAGGGATACAATTACCTGAAATATACAGGAAGAACTTCTACGTTTCGAGGGAAGACTCTTCGTCGGGAAGTTAGTAGCGGGGAACCGGGGTCCGTAAAATTATATGAGCTTTTATTCTAGAGAATGTAAAAGCGATTATGTGACAAAAAGTCTATACCAATCAGATGGTTTTAGCCCAAAGAGAGTGAAAATAGAAAATGTAAATCACATTAAATAACATATTAATACAAACATACAGAAACTACAACAAAATATAAGAAACAAGCACAGAAAGATAAAAATTTAACCCCACTCTCTAACTTCCCGACAAAAGCTCCGGCTTGCTGGAAACGTCGAAGTTCTACTTGTATTTTTCGAGACCGTTCATCATCGTTTGAGCCATAGATACATTCATACTTATACTTTATTTCTGTTATTTACTTTTGACATCTCTCTGACCATTTCTTTGTCGGAGTCCATTTCCTTTTACCTTCTTTCATTGTTTTCCTACTTTCTCATTTACTTCAGTGTACATTTATTAAATTACAATAACGTATATTTTTAACAACAGATGGATGTACCAATGCAGGCTTTTGCCCCAAACAAAGAATTGAAAATAGGCAATGGTTCTAATGGCACGTGTGTCTATGTTGGTGTGATGGAGGATGGAAGTGAAGTCGCGGTAAAACGAACGTTAACACAAAGTGGAGAAGATACAGCTGAAAATGAAAAGAATATATTAAATCTGATAAAGACAGATGAATTTCCATTTATAGTCAGCTATCGAAATTTTTTCCGTGACGACACCTTCACGTACCTTATTGTCGATCTGTGTGAAGAAGATTTGAAGAATTACATTTGTTCTCAAAGTATTGATTATCTTCAACAAGTTGGCCCAAGAATGATCAATGAAATATTAACAGGAATTACATTTCTACACGATCGACAAATTTTGCATAGAGATCTGAAACCTCCAAACATATTGGTCGACATCGAAGGTCGCATGAGATTGGCCGACTTTGGAATAAGTCGCGTTCTGAAAGAAGATGAAACGACACACCTCACAGACCCAAAGGGAACTCAAAACTGGATGCCTGCAGAAGTAATTGGATCAATAAACAGTAGCAAGAAATGTCGTTTTAAAAAGAAATCTGATGTCCAGGTCGTGGGCATGATTGCGTTCTTCATTTTAAGCCAAGGTAAACACCCATTTGGTACTTCACCTGACTGCATGGGTAATATTCTGAAAGGAAATCCAGTAAACTTGGGGAATCTTGACGATCTTCATGCCCGACAGTTTATTTCATGGCTTATTCGTCATGATATCAATGATCGACCCTATGCTCACGAAGCGTTGGAACATTCATTTGTCAACAATAACTGATATAATTTTATTATATGTGATCGTCATAAAGAATGGTGCTAAAATGCTGAAAATGAAGTGTCAAATTTAGAGCAACATGTTAAGAAAGGTCATTTGAAAATGCTGAACAGCTCTAAATTATTTGCCTGTACCAAGCAACTATGCAATTTTTAATCAACATGAAATAGTTTGCAAAGGTGTATAAACTGTCAAATTTAAATCCAAAATATAGAAGTATACAGTACCATAAGAACACTGCGAAGTATGGAATGCTAAGATAATAAAACTCAAACTGGTTAGTGAATTGACTTCTGTTAGAACAGAACTATTTAAATAGGACCTATTACAGGGTTCGTACATATCAGGAAAAGTCAAATTAATGGACATTCAAGACCATGTATCAGCAAATTCCCGTTAGAAATCTTAGGATTCAGTAAAATGTGACGTTGAAATGTTCAGGAAGGGCGCAGCATTAATAAATTTCAAACAGTTTTGTCAGATATGACATGTAAAATGAATTCAACAAAATGTACGTCCGTTTTGAATGTCAAACAATTTCAGAAAATATCCATAAACTAAAGCAAGAAGAATTTAAGTGCTTTCAAGACTCAAGAACTTCTTTTCAAATTCAAGGATGTTGAAGGACTTTCAGGTTTTCTGTACAAACCCTGCTATATTAGAATCAGAATTATACAAGGACCCTCCAGTAGTAATATAGGGGCCGATCGATCCGGATTTTTGTGCTGGAGTGTGGTGGAGTGAGGAGGAGGAGTGAGGAGGAGGAATGAGGCGGAGTAATACCGTAACGTGGGCAAGTTTAGGCAAGTAATGACCTCACGCGGGCATGTTCGGACAAAACCTTCAGACTAGGCATTTTAGCGTCCCTCCACGTGTGTGATACAAAAGAGGGATTAAGATTGGCTTACTACGATTGGTTGTTTGAGTTAACGAGCGTCTATATAAAATCGACAAGCGTCTTGTGGTGAGCATAGTTCTGCATGTATAAAAGTATGAAATAGAAGTTAGTTTTTAAAATCTACCGTTAGCTCAGTTGGTAGAGCAAAGGACTGTAGTTATTACCAAATCAGTATTCCTTAGATCACCGGTTCGACCCCGGTACGGTAGAAAAGTTTTTGCCTTACAACCGTGTAGCACGTTGTGAGTCCCAATCCCTATCTTATTTTCATAAGAAACCTTATCAAAAATACTTGAAGGAAAAAACATTTAGAAGAGTGGTAAAATATTTTGCCATAAAAAAAATGAATATGTTTTTATCAAATATGCGGTCGTTATATACGTTGCTATGTGTTGCTACGTCATTAGGAGGCGTGCAGGTAATTAAGAGATTAGGCGAACAAAAATCTGCATAACTAAGTGTATCCCAATGGATAGATAGGGATTATTTATAACGCAGGTGTATGCCTTAAAATCGGGCGCGAGGCTTTGTGGGCAAAAATTCACACAAGAATTTAGATTTAAAACGCATTTATTTCTTTAAGTACTACAAAGTTAATAATTCTTGTCTGTATAAATATATTATCCAAATAAGAGTTTTGTCCCGTTTTGTTTCTAACTTTAACCACTCCTTTGAGCCATCATTCATTTCTGTATTGTCCACGTTCTTTGCAGTTTGTATTTGATTTTGTTCTCTTCCTAGCGGATTTTGGTTGACGAATGGGTATATTCTTTATCCCGCTTTTATTCCACTTTGACTGCTTTTTACTGTTCCCAATTAATCTGTCTAATTAATCTAAAGCTGTTGGCTTAGCGCGAATAAGATAAGGTTGTCTTTCTTGGGACGAAAGTTCATGGACGTCTGCCAAATGGTTTGCCAATCTTTTTAAAGCTCGCTTGCCGCAGATGGGACAATCTTTACACTTCCGAGGCATAATGTCAAATGATAAATGTCAACTGAATTCTAACATTAAATAGTTGTGGCCCCAAATGCCTTTTTGAAGGTTTGCCAGGACTTGGGAGAGGGTTAGGAGAAAATAGCTACCACACAGGATCGTATTTTATTTTAATTTTATAATATCATGATCGCCTCGTTTTCTATTGTTCTCATAGGGAATTTAAATCCCGTATTTTCCTCATTACGCATGCAACAGGGAATATTTCGCTTTGTCTACTAAATTTCCCCTGGAAATTTAGTAAAAAACAAAAGATTTCTTTGTCTACTAATCTTCCCTCATCAAAAATGCACGGGATGATTAGTAGACAAAGAAATCCCTTGTCTTTTACTAAATTTCCCGCTTCCATATTTAATGCAAACGGAAAACCTAAAACACTCAACAATTTTATTCAACATATTAAATTTTAAATGTACACAAGTATGACTTTGCTAAACAATTAAACGTCAAACTCCAACTCAAGACCAACTGTAAAATTCATGCTATCAACGTCCGTTTATATTTATGTTTATATTTACGTGACTAGCAGTGGCTCCTTGAAGCTCTTTTAGTCGCCCGTCTAACGCGTTTTGAAATGGCTTTAATTGTGGCGTTGTAAACAAGCTTATTTCAGGCTTGCTTTCTTGGATCGTACGGTTCATACCACAAAACAAGCTATACAGTACTTCGTGTCTGTAATCGCTGCCATCTTTCTTCCTCACTTCTACAGCAAATTTGCTCAGCCAGTAATTAATTTCTTCCAAATTAATAGAGTCTAAATTTGGAATCCTCTGAAACTGCTCGTTCCTCTCTTTAACCCACGCGTTGTACACATTTGTACTCCACGTAGTGTGCCTTATGGTATTCTTTGGCACTCTATCTTTTCGAACATTTTCAACTGTCCGGTCTGACACAAAATAGAACCTTCCAGTTGCAGCCATATTCGAAAACTAAGTTTAAAATCAATGCAGTGATTTACATAAGTCTCACAACAACAAAGCATGTCCCAAAGGTACACTTATTTCAATCAATAGTCAAACTCATAAACGACTTCATTGAAAAATACAAAATCAAACAGCGAAACTTATCTCTGCAGCAAACTTTTTTGACTTTTCCTCGGCGATCATAATATTACAAACTAATAACATGACTAGTCGGGAAATTAGTAACCTGAAGTTCAGGCCCTATCACAGAATAGGAAATTAGCGATTAAATTTCCCTTCGCCTCGGGAAGATTTGTGAAAGTCCTCGGACTTTCACAAATCTTCCCTTGGCGTCGGGAAATTTAATCGCTAATTTCCCTCTAGTCATGTTATTACTTATAATAAATCAAACACAAACAACCATTACGAGTCAATGTCACTAGGATACTGTGCGTTTCTGAAAAGTCTTTTCAAAAGAAATATTCTCTTGTCAATAGCGGCCTCTAACGATTCCCTGTGGTCGAAATTATCATCGTTGACAAAGACATCCCTAGTTTCCATAATCTTTTTGTGTTGGATCCCTCTTTAGTTGTTTTATCCATAGTAGACGTTCCAGATAAATATTCTGCAAATCTTTACGAAGTTTTGGTAGGATAAGTAAGTAAGTATGCCTTGTCTTTAGCTTCGTTTTCGTCAAAACCTTCTGCAGTGAAATTCTGCGTTAGTTCTTCGAATTCCGATAAACTTTGTTGGGTTGCTTCAGCTTGTAAAGGAACCCATGGGATCGTTTTCGTATTCATCACCTACTTCACTATTAGTATCATCTACATTATCAGAATCACTCTCTGACGCAGAATCAGTTTCCACTTCGTTGTCAGTGTTATACGAATTCTCAACATCACTCTCTGGTGTAGCACTATCAGAGTCTGCAGCCGTTCTCATTCTTTTCATCTTTACACTGAAATCTGTAGTAGGTTTCCAACAGTACTGTATTTCCTTCGCATATTGTTAGGTTGAAACAACTCCAACCACAACCAACGGCGAATGTCAATTTTTTTGAACAACATTACATTTTATGAAGTGGCCTTAAGGGATTTTTCTATGACCTTGTGGCCCGATTGGTGGCCCGCCAATTCTAGGGAATCGGGCCACAAAGCCATAAAAAAGGCCCTTGGGGCCATTGCATAAAGTGGCCTCAAGGGACTTTTCTACGGCCTTGTGGCCCGATTGGTTGGGATACTTCTCACCAACAGGGTTCTAGAGAATCGGGCCACAAGGCCATAAAAAAGGCCCTTGGGGCCAATGCGAATGGCCGCCATCTATTCAAATGAGGGTAACCGCTGGAATATTGTTGGCTTCAGTTTTACTAAAAGAGATGCGCTATATCTAGTGTATATAAGATATCTATTGTTAAAACGCGTCGGATAATTTTCGGTACTTTCAAGCCGTCGCGTTATTTCAGCTGGTGACGCCGCAAGCTGTTCCGTAGACAGTCGGACTCCTCATTGATAGTCGAACGCATCATTCACCCGCGCCCTTAAACAAAATATTCAGCGGACACTCTTCTTATTAGATGCGCCTTCCCTGTGTGTCCTGCGCACGCAATTGGTGATTTCAAAATCAGTATTGCTTGGTTGAAATGTCAAAATTTGAACAGGACACATTGTGGCTTCACATCTTGTGTGGTGAAGACATCCGACATATTTTATTAAGTTATATTCGCCATTCTCACTTGCTTTTCTTTGCTTTTGCAACTGTTTTTGTAACTCTTTTCGGAGCGATTGCAGAATACCCGTCCACTTTTTAAGCCATGCCTTTCAAACATCATGGGTAGGATGTATTAATACATCTATATTTATTCTCAATAGATTAATAATTAGATTGATGGATTAAAATCCCATGGTGGTAATGGTAGCTAAGAGGCACACAGTGACTTAGCATTAATAGCTTAAATTGTCATGATAGTGTGAATATACAATTACTTTATGGTTTCCGTGTTTGGATGGCCTGAAGCACGAGCCGAAGGCGAGTGATTTTGCGCGCTTTTCTTAACTCGAGCAACATTCCCAAGTGTTTGGATCAGGCCATCCTAACAGGGAAAGCATAAAGTAATTGTTTTATAAAATAACAACAACACGATAGCCTTCCGTGTTTGGATGGCCTGATCCAAACACGGGTTTCGACCAATCAGAGCACGTGTTATATATACATGCTATTTTATAAAGGTAACTCTATATTCTAGTGGATACGCGTATTCGCAGTCAAATTTGAGAACGAGGCATGCAGTTAGATTAGCATTAGAACAAATTTTCATGCTACAGGTAGCTCTATATTTTAGTGGATACGCAGTCAAGTAGTTATTTTGAGATTAAGGCGACAGTTAGTTAGCATCAATAGATTAAAATTCTCATGCTATAGAGAACTTAAATGTGGTGTAATATGTAAATATGTTCCTCACAACCGGACATTGGTGTTTGACAGATTATGATTAATTAGCGTGGCTGGGAGAAAAAGTTTTATATTATAAAGCATCCTAAGCATAATATTAAACATTAAAAGTCTTGCATGATATTTCCTTTATACAATTATAGCATGAATTCGTAATATTGTCTTAGTAATTAGTTTGTGTATATTAGAACGATGCAATAAGATCTGGTATATATGTATCCAGTGAAATAGTGGCCGGGCTACAAGATATGATATTACTAGTGGAAGGGTATTCTGCGGCAATACTTCTATTTGTGGAATGTGGACTTGATGGTCGCTTTGAATCTTCCAGTATTTCCTTGCACGCTAGTTATCTTATCCCGATTCTCTTCAATTGGGATGATATATAGTTTTAACTCGTAATAACAGTTCTGGAGTATTTTCGGAACCAGAAAAACAAGTTTGTAGATTTACTATGGCATCGCGAAGCAAATCGTTCATCTTTCTACACGTGGTTGAAGAAGAACAACGTGGAGTGATGGATATATGGTGCACCAGTGGGTTACGAACAGGGATCCATCGATAACGCGCGGAGGCCTGGACGCTAGTCAATGATGCGTCCGACTATCAATGAGGAGTCGACTGTCTACGGAAAAAAAGTTGCGGTGACGCCATCAGCGTGCAATAGCACCGAGACTACCAAGTCACCTATCAGCTATATATTGCGCGGGGGCGATTGTTGTCGTAACAATTAATTCACAATTATTCGCCGAAGGCGAGGTGATTATCGGAGAATATTCGCCGAGACGAAGTCGAGGTGAATATTTATCACTTATTTACTGAGACCGAGGGAAACAGTGTGTTTTGTGGACCCGAGACCGTCGATGTTTCCCGAGGCGAAGCCGAGGGAAACATCGACGGGCGAGGGTCCACAAAACACACTGCTTTCCCGAGGTCTCAGTAAATAAGTGTTTTATTATATATCAATAGTCAAAGAAACAACAAATTAAAGAACAAATGAACGTAAATACATGAAATATTTTATTGTTAAAACGTTATATTAAACACTGGCTACACTGCAGTTACTTAATTAATTTAAAGCGAAAGTTTTAATTACGTACTAGGCATGTCCAAAGGTCGCACCTTCACGTGAAGGCGCACGTGATTTTTTTTGTTATTCGCCGGTGGATAACGTATTATCTCCCTCTCGCGCTGTTGCGAGGGAGACAGCCTAATTTCGTCACTCTCACGTGATATGCTCTCAACCAATAAAACACTAGAAAAATGCGACTTTGACTACTGATATATAATAATCCCCGATAATCACCGAGCCTGAGGCGAATAATTGTTTTAGTATTTTTACACAAGCTTTTGTGTTTTTGAGACTGAATTTATTTTAATTTCGCTTATTTCTTTGTCAGTAAACTTCCACAAATCGGGTAGCCGCCATTTTGAAATTTTCAGTTTTGTTATATTCACCTGTAGGTGTAGGCTTAGTATAAATTTTGCATATCAAATGAGCTTTCACGCGTTCCGATTGACCAGTAAATCTGACGCATTATTTACTAGCCGACCAGTAAATAATGCTTTAAAAAAAAAATGATTCCCCAACTTTGGTTTCAAAATCAACAAAATATTGAAAAAATCGACTAGGGGTGCACCGGATTTGGAATTTTCAAATCCGGCCGGAACCGGATTTGGACAAAAATTCCGGCCGGAATTCCGGATTTGAGATAAAACCGGTAATGGGGACAATTGGGGATAAATTGGGATAATTCAGTATTCAAAATGGCGGTTTATGTTTTTTACTATTTAACAATTAGACAACGAGGCCGACTTGTCTATGAGCGAATAGTCAACGAGGCGAAGCCGAGTTGACTATTTGCTCATAGACAACGAGGCCGAGTTGTCTAATTGTTTTAGTATAAACTTTAACATTAATTTACAACTAGGCTGCAAACACAATACAAAAATACACAAAAAAAAACATTATAAAACCATTAAAGGTAAACAAATATTTTAGTTTTTGTTCGTGTAAAATGTTTTACAAAATTCAGTTTTAATTTTAAAATTTCATTGAGTGTATGTTATTTTGTCTATTTTCTTACCCTTAAAAATTGCCATTCCATATTTTTGTTGCTTTTTCGGGGTTTTTTAGTACAGAATTGTTCAACAAGTCGTCCAAAAAAATCATCAGACACTTCGGCAAAAGTGCAAAATGCGAATTTTCCGCCATTTTGAATTTTCTATTAGTAGGCTATCACTAATAGCCTACTAGTAGCGTAGCCAATCAGAAGCCACGATATGTGATAGCCTACTAGTAGGTTTATACTAATTTTAGTTAGTGTCAGTTTAGATTTTTGATTGTGTTTAAACCTTTTTTAAATATCTTTTTGCTAATAACTTAATATTTTATAGTAGTATAAGTGTTTTTTAAACTTTAAAGCTACCAAATTGATGGTTTATCCCATTCTTGGTGAATTTTTAAGTGAAAACAGAAATTTAAATCCGGCCGGATTTTCTCTAAATCCGGCCGGATGCCGGAAAATTCGTAAATCCGGCCGGAATTCCGGCCGGATTTGAAATCCGCTGCACCCCTAAAATCGAGGGTAGGATTCCTTTATCTATTTTACTGTGTCAAACATATTCACGGACAATTTAAAACTTATTTAAAAGTCCGAAACATTCACTTCAAACAAATAGCAAAAACTATCCCGACTGTTGGGAAAAACCTTGCCGTGATATTCTTTTAAATCCATTTTGTTTCGTATCCTATACAGATTTCTCAATTTGCACGATACAATTTCTTTTGATATGTCATGTTTTCGTTGTGCTGTATGGTGTTCTGACCGCTGTATTGTGTTTTCGGAACTGGTAAAGTAAAAAGTGTTGTTAAAACTTTGTTTCGAACGATAAAGTTTTACATTTTTATTTTACCAAATCTCTCAGCCATTTCCTGAAAAAATTAATGCTAAACAGAAACTATGTTTTAATTCTAAGTCTGGTGAAAAAGTTATTCCGTTATTGTGGTTACATTCTAAGCAGAAATCGAGAAAAACAACTTTGTAATAAAGCAATAAAGTCACAAAAGAAGCCATTTTAAAAGCGTGTGCGTACAAGAAACACTGCAACACTATTAGTGACTGTAACCGTGAACAGGCCGAAAACAGTTTTATTTCTGAATTTTAATTGAACTGATATTTGGATATTTTGTTTTATTCATTAAAAATTTATACTAAAACAATTATTCGCCTCAGGCTCAGTGATTACGGTGAATATTCACCTCGACTTCGTCTCGGTGAATATTCACCGGTAATCACTTCGCCTTCGGCGAATAATTGTTAATTATTACGTCAAATTTGACCAATCAAAGTGTAGGATTTATTATGTTCACTTGTGCAAAAATACTAATCCCAGATAATCACCGAGCCTGAGGAGAATAATTGTTTCAGTATTTTTACACAAGTCTTGGTACTGAATTTATTTTAATTTCTCTTATTTCTTTATCAGTAAACTTCCACAAAATGACTAGCCGCCATTCTTCAAATTTCGGTTTTGTTATATTCACCTGTAGGTGTAACGTCAAATTTGACCAATCAGATTGTAGGATTTGTTATATTCTCTTGTGCAACAATAATAAATAAAAATATTCTATAGTGTTTCGATGCTCGCAATGTTTCCTGTATGTACAGCAAGAAAGATACACTTCAGCTTCTAAATTAAATTTATTATTTAAATATATACAACATACTGAAGTTTAATATGTATAGTTGTAAAAAGATTGAAAGAAAGATCGACAAGTCAACACGACTGACCACCAAAATTTACATTATCAACATTATGAAATATGAAGGGTCCAGCAACCAACCACTTTCTACAGATTCCACATCATGATTCAAAATCGGGTTCATATCTAAAAATAAAAACATCATATACACCCAGTGTCTGCTTCCAAGGAAAACAGTTTTTGTTTTACCGAAAGTTTCATTTTCCGAGACAAAGTAAAAAAGTTGCTTAGCATGACCCTAGCCAAGCCACTGGTAGCAGCAGCATTTCCTGTTCTATTTTGCGTTGTGTACTTTTGATCTCTTTTAGATACTGACGAGTGTATTCTTTTCGCAAAGTGGAAAAACTTTTTTTCCGCTTATAATACTTGTTGTTTGTGGACACACCAAGTAAAATTATTACTGCAAAGCTTTCGATCCGTAAGCCCGGATAAGGAACTGATGAAGACGCGGGCTTACGGATCGAAAGTGTTGTAGTAATAAATTTACGTGGTGTTTCCACAAACAATTATCAATTATTGGACGAGGACAAATCACGATATTTTGCGAGAACCGAGTTCAATAATTGTTTTATCATTCACTTATAAAGCTTCATTTTATCTTTCGTTTAATATAACTTCGCAGTCTCTCTTTCTTGCTTCTGCACAAAACTTGCGAAGGACGTTGGCAAGAGTTTCTTTTGAGCCTTGCTTCTAAATGCTGGCGAAATACATTGACGGCTGTTTTAGTCTCTTTTTTTATTTTCCGCGTTTTTTTCTTCAAGTAAGCAAGACAAAAATTGAAGGCAATGCGCATGCTCAGACTATTATTTGTAGCTGAGCAACATTTTTAACAAATGCGCATGCTCAGACTATTATTTGCACGCAGTTATTTGCAGGTAAATTAACCAATGAAAATTGAGAATACTATAAAGTGAATGATAAAATGTATTATATAGTTATGTTTTATCGCCATGCAATCCTACAGAGAACTTAATTTTCCACTTGTTGCACAGAGGGCTACATTGCATTTATCCAAATATGCATGACCACAAATCGGCCCTCTTTGCTTTGGTACAGGTAAGTGCAACGGGGGAGGGGGTTATTGTTACCGTCATTAATGTTGCAGCAAGGTGATAACAAATTGTTCAAGACTTTGTCACAACATCTGTGAAGAAGTAGCGCGAACACATCCTGATATCAACTTAACAACAGCCTCGTTACAACTTGTTTGCTGATCTGTAACAAATTGTGCGTTTTTACGTGTGCAGTCAGCATCATAAAAACAGTCCCGAAAATGAAAAATACTATCATAACTTACTTCTTTAGTCTTTGTCTAAGTTTCTTCATCTGTTCATTCTTAGTCTGCAGCATTTGCTTCATATTTATATATTGTGTCGTTTCATTAAATTTCTTCGTCAATTCCTGCAAAGGAAACACTCGCCTTAGTGAGATCTGCAAGCACTCTTTTAACGTATACAATACACAAAGTAATTTGTTTTCATATGAGAAACGGCCTAGCCTGGCTAGGTGGGATCTGAGTCAAAGCAGATAAAATTTTTCATAGCAAGGCTTCATCCCACCTGACCGGGATAGATATTTTTGCCAATTTTGATCTATAGTGCATGGGAATTAAACACAAAGTGGAAAATACAAATAGACCCTAAAAAGACATTAGGGCCATTTATACGGAACAAAATAAGACGCGACTTACATAAGACGCGACTTAAATAAGACGCGAGTTTGTCGTATAAAAGGTACAAAATTCTTATGTAAGACGCGTCTTGGATAAGACGCGTCTTACATAAGAACAGGCCTTTTAGCTGTTCTTATCTAAGTCGCGTCTTAAATAAGAAATTTTGGACAAAAAGTTTAACTACACATGCCAGAAACTTGAAACAACTTAAAATTATTAGCCTTGCATATTAAAAAAAAACCCGAAACAACATTATAGCTATAGCAAGTAAATAAGAATAACGCCCTAGAGAACCATTTATGCGATAACTCCGCTTATTTAAGTCGCGTCTTATGTAAGTCGCGTCTTATTTTGTCTCGTATAAATGGCCCTAATATGAACATCGTAATACAAGGTACAGTTTTCTAGTGTGTTTAACGAAACAATGTTTATATCGTTGGGTAGGAAGGTGAAAAGAGTAAAAATTTCCTGATATTTTAAAGGAGCAGTGTCACCTGATGCGCATCTTTTTTGCGCATACCAACAAAATTTCGGAAATTGTTCGGTGCCTAAAAGACTCTCTCGAAGTTCTCTACGGCAAGCTCTACGGTACGAAACTACACATATTTTTTCATATAATTTGTGAATCCGCCTCGCGAATCCACCATGTTGGATTGGAAAACTTGAAAAACTACTGCTGGTCAGCCGTAGTTTTTCACGTTTTCGTGCGCAAAAAGTGGGAAAATACAAACAGATGAAAAGATGCCCACAAGGTGACATTGCTCCTTTAAATTACGTTATACGTTTCCAACAAACAGTACGTGTTTTTTTAGAGGGAATATATTAGCACAATGGGATACGTAATTACACCCAACTATACCACGGATCGATACGACTATGACGGACTAGAATGAGTTTGAGATATCACCAATACCCGAACCGACTTGACCTCGTAAATAGCTCAGATGGTAGAGCGATCCCCCAAAAGGTGTTATAGCTCCAATATATCTTTAATTTAAGGGTGTGATCCTTGAGATTGAAATTAAATTCACAGAGAAATGCTATAAAAATATTTGTTCCACGACAAAATTCAATCCACTTACTTTCTCCTTCTCTTGCAAATCGTGTTGTAAACGCAAAATTTCATGCTGAAAAATCGTTTATAACAGATAAGATTTAAATTTGTTTCAGAACAATAAATCTACTTATGAAGCTAGGCTATGTTAAACTGTAATCAAGTGAGTTTATTCTGCCTTTTCATTGGTCGAAAGATTTGCTCTATTAGAGGACGGACACACAGATGAAATTTATTTCATATTTCTCAACTTTATTCTGAAATCAAGATGCCATAATTCCAGACAATTTATAGTCGTACTGGACTGGTACTTCAATGGCCATTGCCTAACTTAAGATGTGAGGTGTACTTAGTCTTTGAAATGAGATACAAAAAATACAGGGTTTTTGAAAGATATTCATACAGTAACCTAAAACTAAAAGAAGCACATGCAACTGCATATACAAACACTGTAATTCACTCCAATTAACATTCGTTAGTCCCATCACTCCAATCATGTCTGGTGCGAAGGCACGTCGGACTCGCACATATACCCACTTAATTACGATTTTGAATGCATTGGCATTGGAAAGGCCATATGGTACCAGCAAAAATAAGCTGATAGCGTGCATATTGCGTATAGATGCGTGGTAATAAAGTACCATGCAGATCGTAGAACACGACAGTACGGTAGTACCTCCGCCACGTAATTAGGCAAATTATTGTCGCACTCTAATTCATCAATATTGATTTTGCAAGTATTCTACAATTGTGACGCAAAAGCGCTAGGACTATCAAGTTCCAGCTATTACCTTGGCATTAGTAAGTTGGTCCGTTATTTCTGAAGCGTTATCACCACCAGCAGAGCTAGCCTGAATAAAAAAGGAACGAAAATTAGAACTCACTCTAACCATTAGGAAAGCGTTTGCACGGTTATTTAGTTTTCATTTTAAAGGGTTTCAGAAATTATTGGCCCTTCCTCGTGAAGTTTGTAGTGTTGATAGGGAAAATTAGGCCCAGTATACGTTAGATCAGGACAAACTCAAATCGGGACGATTTTATTTTGGTTGGAGTGTTATCCCCGAGCCAGCGCCGTTCCGGGCGTACGTCCGGGGCGAGGGTACTAATTCCACCCGGCTATTTACACCCGGGGAAAGGAACACACTAGCAAAGTCTAAAGTTCATCAAATGTCGCGGGCGCGGTTCATGGGTGTATGGGTGGTCATCTCACTGACCTCAAAATATGGTTGTTTGCCAGGAGTGAAGAAGGGAAAAAGTTAGAAAATATATGTAAGAAAGCTTGAAAAATCGTTTCACATAACAAATTGTAGCACTTCTCTTCAATTTTTAAAGGTAAACATTAATAAGAATTTATTTAGTATGATAAATTTTAAAGTATAGGGCAAGTTTGTTTCAATTGTTTATGTAAGCATGACTTTGTATTAATATAGACTCTGTTCTTGTTGTTCATGTCTTTCCTATGCCGTTGTGTGCGAAAGTTTCTTAGTTAAATTAACTTTTGTAGAAGTTCATGATAAAAAGGAAAGCAAATTATTTTCATTAGCGTCCTGTAGGAATTAAATTTACTTCATTTCAAAGTCCAAGTAATAGGTTGAAGTGATTAATATCGGCAAAATAAAAAGCCGTTAATTTCAATTCACATTTAAAAACGTTTTTAATACGTAGTTTCGTTTCGAATTTTACATTAAAATAAAGCCCATAGAAACCAAAATAATATACCTACTTTATATATTTTAGAAAATGATAGTTCTGTATTTAAAAGTGTTCAAGTTTCATCTATTTTTTGCAGGTTTGTACAAAAAATTTTAAAAAAAATTATCGTGTTGCCATGACTAACATGACGTGCAACGCGAGCCTGCGTTCAGTGTTGGCACAGAATACTACACAGAAGTCCATCTCCATTGTTTTTTGCGAAAGCTCTATTCGTCACGATTCGTCACTCGGCAAGTACCGTAAACAGAAGCAGTCACCCCCCTGGACGTGCGCCGTGTTAGTATTTCCAGGGGGGGGATGACTGCTTCTGTTTACGGTACTTGCTGAGTGACGAATCATGACGAATAGAGCTCACGCAAAAAGCAATGGAGATGGACTTCTGTGTAGTATTTTGTGGTCTTGGCGTATTTATGCGGAATACTTCATGTTGAAACAATGTTTGGAGAATATAGGCGAGGGGTTGTTGCATGCATGTATTTCTAGTATATAATAGATGTTTACATGAGAACGGCACGAGAAATTGCTCAGACCGGTCTGAAGTCAACCCGCTCGCTGGACCGAACCAGACAGGGATGAATTCCGAGCGGGATGAATGTAAACACAAATGCATTTCAGACCAGTCTCGGCTGTGCTCTTGGTTTCGGAACAATGCATGCTCACAAAAGCACTGTAAAAAAAATGGCGGGAAAGGGGAATAAAGTGATAGCATAGACGGATTTTCTGGGGTGCAGTGCTACCCCCCAATATTAGCTATAACCCCCCCCCAAACAAAATGTCCACCACTCCAAAAAAAAGTTTCATCCCCCAATATTCGGCATAATAAATAAATAATTAAATAGTCCACTCCAACGTGCAGAGTGTTGATTATAAAAATAAACGTAGGAGTACACTTGAACAGAAAAAGACAGTGCAACACTCTGAAACTAATCGCTCCTCGCTTGCATTCACTGGTTTATTGGAGCAATTGTAAAGTTTTGAAACTCTATTATCTTCCCTGAATATCTTCCCTTGTCATGCGAATAGCTTGCACGCAAGGAACGTTTGGAATTTTTACGAACATTATTTTTAGTTTTTAATTCTTTTAGGAAATAGACTTGCCTAGATTTAATCTTTACGCCCCAAATATTATTTACATCGGAGTTAATTGCATCATAAATTGTACTCGGATTCAAACAACAGAATGTCAATGACTTTATAAAAGAAAAAGCATATTGTGTATTGGCCTATTGGGTTTACACTTTTATAGGTTCATTTAACTTTAAGTCTTTAACTCTCTCAAGTCTCAACAGACAATCGGACATGCCAAATCCATTGATATGACAAATTGACAACTTCAAAAAACTTTTTTTCGAAGCTAGAAATCATGATTTTTTTTTAAATTTTTCCTGTGATACTTTGTTTTCTGCTCTCTAGACTCTCCCTCGCGGCTCTAGTGCTCCACCCCTATAGAATATAGACCGTACTGGGGTTTGGTGACACTTTTGTGTTGCTTCAGTCACCTGCTCACGGCTCACCCCCTAAAATTTCTGGCACCACCCCAGTAATAAATATGAAAATCCGTCTATGAGTGACAGATTCTCGATTTTCGTAATGGTCTCATGTGAACATACCAAAAATTTTGATTTTCATACCGGTTTAACTTCGTCCAAGTCTCATGTAAACGTTTTGTTGAAAATTTTCAGGTAGTTGTTCACAATTTACGTCACAGCTATCTGTTAATGTCTCTACTTACACTGGCAACGACGGTTGTATAATTTTCAGACACTTTCAAATCTTCAAATATGTTTTAAGGAGACGCACGTTTGCCCATTCGTTTGGTACCTTGGTATTGTCAGATCTTTACAGTCTAATAATCTTCAACTGGTTTCTCTATTTGCACTAGTGAGAAACAAGTCGATTTATTGTGCCATCTATTTAGATCAACGGGCACATAAAACGGCTATACTGTCTATATGCTATACAAAACTGTGTGCAGAAAGCAATACAAACCTCTAACACTATCCCTCGATTCCTACGCTATTGTCATATATAAAAATATTTTAAATTAAACTAACTTTTCTAACACTTTCCATTTCCAGTTTTACGGATTCCATTCTCTTCTCTAGTTCCTTGAGTTCATCTCCGTCCGCAGATTGCGACATTGTTAACAGTTCCGATTGCGTCTTTGCCAAATCAGCTTTTAACTTACTTTTCTCATCAAGTACGCTAGCTGCCTACAAAATCACATCACGAAAATATTATTACGATTATTGCTTACACTGCACGTAAAAAAAGAAGAAAGTCAAGGCGTGCCGAGAATTTCAGAGCATACATGGGGAAAGAAACGATAGATTAAAAAGATTCGGTAGATTAAATGCATTTGCTGTACTTCAAGCTGAACATGAAGTATACAGAAGTGAATTCGGCTAATTTTCCTTTCCCGACTATCGTTATGGTAAAATTTTTAGACAGTTTTTTTAATAATGCGCAAAGGCCGGAGCGATCCATGGTTGAGCCAGTCGGATGTAAAAAACCTGACCGCTCGCCAACCAATCAGATTGCTTTATTTTCAGGGATATCGGACTGTAATATGCATAAAACATGTTAAGTATGCATAAACATATGCATAAAACATGTTAACTAAACGTAAAACACTTACCATTGTCTCACTGATTTTTATTTTTTCTTTCAACCGCCCATTTTCTTCTTGCAGCCGATTTATCTCCTACAAAATAAGCGAATAAATATAGTAAAATCTCATTTCAAGCACCGAATTGCATAGATTTAAATTTAATTAATCATTTAACATAGAATAGCTTAATCAGTTATAATTTAATGGTTGCCCATTCAATATGTCCATCCGGAAGCAGTCATGACCTTATAACAACGTCCATTAATTGTTAAAACGCTGGATGTAAATTGATTGTACATATAGGTCTTATTTATTGACGGGAATCTTAAGTATACAATTTAGGGCACGCGTAGGAGTCTCTTATCATATATTTATGACAAAACACGACTACAACAGATGTCGTCTCATTAGTATTCTTTATATAAAAAATACTAATTAGGATGGACTTTATATAAAGAATACTAACGAAGATGCAGAGTTTCATCAGGTATAAAAACACTTCAAGTGACATAGTACGGTTCACATGACTAGCCAAAAAGCTTATGCATTATTGGTGAGTGTTTTAAGTATTTTACTCTAACTCTAGACGAAAGGTATAGGAGCGTCCTTACAGTAAATGTAAGTGTTAACAATTTCCACTTTTCTTAACAAGGCAATAGACCTTATGCGTAATGACTTCACAAGGCTTGATGCCCGCGAGGAATGCTGGTCTTAGTAGTCATCGCCCACGAAAATTAAACAATTAAAAATGGCCGCTCTCGAAATTTTCCCGGGCGATGACTACTAAGACCATCATTCCTCGCGGGCATCAAGCCTTGTAACGCCATTATGCATAATGTCTATTGCTAAAATCATGCAGTGTCTATATAGTCTAGGACCTGTGACTTTGTATGCGTTTCATTTACCACAGGTAATCTCAACTGTTTTATGGTAAAATGACCATGGCGGTCAACATGGCATATGTGCCAAAACCCGAATCCGGGACGAAAGTCCTGAAAATGACCCCGCTCTGAAACGGCAGTGCCGACATAGCTCTAACTTCCGAAAAGCAAAAGCGACAGCCTTTCTGAAGTGCTTATAGTGTTTAGAAGGGTTGCTTTTAGGGGTGGTTATTGGAAGGAAAAATTTGTGTAAGTATAATATTTTACAAGAAAATGACCGTTCATCACCCCAGGTAAATTGCTAATTATGCATAAAATAACTAATATACATGGCAGAAATTAAATATCCTTATTTCCTAAAAAAAATTTTATCATGGGATGAAAAACTATGCTTAATTTAATATGATTATTGTAGTTTTCATAAGGGTAGTCATTGTTTTCTATAAATATAATATATTTTATTTCACTTACCCCCCACGAAAACACGATTTCAGCCGTATTATGCCGTCTTGTTTGCTTTATATCGCCATGTCTCGCAAATAACATCCACTTGTTGTACTTTTACATAATGGCAAATGGCTAAAGGAGATTTCAACCAAGTTTCGGCAAGTTTTGGAGCAGTGCAGTGTATTTTATCTTCGATATTGTGTCCTTCGATATTTCGTCCATATGCCGCCATTTTAATGGCTCGCCGATTCTCTGCCCGATAAATGCCACTTCTTCGTCTTCATATGTATTTAGATTACAGTATCTAAAGAGTATTTCATTGTAGAATAGTCCTAAAAGAAAAATTGAAAAAATTACTTGCACTTTGAAGGAAAAAACCTCCCACAACAAATTCAGGATAGGAATAAAAACAAATCATTTGAAAGTCACGCGCAATCTTCGCGAAAATTCCTTGACAGGGGGGGGGGCGAATATTTTCACGAAACGTTGTTCGCCACCACCGCAATTCAAGTTTCAACTAAATATATTGTATTTATTGTATTTTATGATTTAAAAATAAAAATTAAAAACATTAAATATTTACGTATTTTTATTATCAATCATAAAAATGCAATAAATATAATATATCCAAATATCCAATTAGGTTGCTGTGGGAACAACGTTTCGTGAAAATATTCGTCCCCCCCTGTCAAGTAGCCACGAGGAATTTTCGCGAAGATTGCGCGTGACTTACAAATGATTTGTTTTTATTCCTATCCTAAATTTGTTGTGGGAGGTTTTTCCTTCAAAGTGCAAGTAATTTTTTCAATTTTTCTTTTAGGACTATTCTACAATGAAGTACTCTTGGATACTGTAATCTAAATACATATGAAGACGAAGATGTGACATTTATCGGGCAGAGAATCGGCGAGCCATTAAAATGGCGGCATATGGACGAAATATCGAAGGACACAATATCGAAGATAAAATACACTGCACTGCTCCAAAACTTGCCGAAACTTGGTTGAAATCTCCTTTAGCCATTTGTCATTATGTAAAAGTATAACAACTGGATGTTATTTGCGAGACACGGCGATATAAAGCGAACAAGACGGCAAAATATGGCTGAAATCGTGTTTTCGTGGGGGGTAAGTGAAATAAAATATATTATATTTATAGAAAACAATGACTATCCTTGTGAAAACTACACTAATTATATTAAATTAAGCATAGTTTTTCATCCCATGATAATTTTTTTTAGGAAATAAGGATATTTAATTTCTGCCATGTATATTAGTTATTTTATGCATAATTAGCAATTTACCTGGGGTGATGAATGGTCATTTTCTTGTAAAATATTATACTTACACAAATTTTTCCTTCCAATAACCACTCCTAAAAGCAACCCTTCTACACACTATAAGCCACTTCAGAAAGGCTGCCGCTTTTGCTTTTCGGAAGCTAGAGCTATTTCGGCACTGCCGTTTCAGGGCGGGGTCATTTTCAGGACTTTCGTCCCGGATTCGGGTTTTGGCACATATGCCATGTTGACCGCCATGGTCATTTTACCATAAAACAGTTGAGATTACCTGTGGTAAATGAAACGCGCATACAAAGTCCTATACAGGTCCTAGACTAATATTATACAGATATCATAGTAAGACATCAAATCTATTAATTGACATTGTATTAATATTTCTATCACCAAATCAATATCGCCTATATTCACATTTTATATCCACAGAAGAGGATATGGTATTAAAATTGGTTTGCATGCATGCATTATAAGGATTTTGAAATATATACTGTATTTCTAATTGAAGAGTTGAAAGACATGCATGTACTAACTTTGGATTCTGTATCAGGGTTTCTCTCTAGTTCGAACAAGGATATTTTAAATACGTAATTCTATATGAGGACAATTTGTAAGGAATTCTAAATCAGAATTCCATACTAAAAACAAAAATGCGTGGGATTTACCGATTGCCTCTTTCTGCTATTATAATGTCTGAAAAAGAGAATGCGAGCGACTTTAATACCGCTTTGTTATTCTATATAAGTGCAAGGATAATTAAATTTAAGACTTTTCCCCCTCTATTTCAACAGTACATTAAAATAAACTTTTCGTGAAAGAAAATGATCGTATACGTCTGCTTAGCTTATCGTTTTCCAAATCGGCCTTTTATTTCAAACCTCATGCACTGTCGCTAAGGCAACTTTGATCATATTATAAGGTGAATTATTTTGGTTCATACCATTGTGAGTTACTCGACACCAGTAAAGCTGAAAAACTGTCATTACAATATTATAGCGAGCTTAAGCAAGTGACGTTTTCGTCAACACGGTCGACGTCAGATTGTCGAGGGAAGACTGGATTTAAAACTACGTTTGTGTCAGTTTGTAGTAATCTTCAACACATGACAAAACGTCAGATACTAAAAGTCTTTTGCTTCCTCACACGTCGAGTGTCACGATGCAAAATGCGGTCAGAATTAGTTATGTCAATTTTCGGCGACGTCCGGTCGACAAACAACGCGTCCCTAGGTTCAGCTCCCTATTATCTAGCGTAAAGCTTTTTCTTTTTTATATATACATTCATTTGATACTCTTCCACGAACTTTGATATCTAAAAATCCCTCCCGTCTTCAACGCTGCGATTTAAAAATGGTACAAATATGACGAGCTTTGTGCGTTCGATTCCCTTAAAATGGCACGTATCACAGAAAAATTCGGCATGGTCACCTTAAAACAAACTACATAGCAAAAAAACACAACAGAAAATCAACAAAATATACCGTATTCAGGAGTTTAACGAGGCCTCGAAGAATTCTGGTTTCAGTTGACGTTTCAAATTTTATTGCAGATTCCATTCTGTGTACGCGTGTTATTTTCGTCTTCGGTGAAAACATTTTTAATGTTTTAGTAGCAAGTTAGACATCGCTGTCGAATATATACGAGATAATAAGGCATAGATACATAATATTTGTTTATATATAGATTATTATGTTAATTGTTCAAATAAAGTAGATCATATCACAAATTATCCAATTACAAAAATATATATACAGAGTATATATCTGTATTTCCATACTAACTCACGAAATTCAATCATTTTGGAATCCTCTGTATATGTTCACTCTCGCGTCGTTTAAGTTAGGCCTACACCGCTTGAACGGATTCTCATGGCAAAATCGGCTTAGCTTTATCATTATTTCTATAATTGTAATTTTCATTAATTTTTATTTAATAATTAGTGTATATTTCCTTACACAACTGAATTTATCTTTCTAGTATTTCAACAGACAATACAGTTTTATAACACTTCAGTGTTTGTCCATGCATGCATATATCAGCCGTGTCTCATGCATGCCTGGACTGATTATTTCTGAGTTCATATGACTGTTTTATGCAATATCCCGTCTCGGTAAACAGAAATTACGAAAAGATGGGCATTGTAATGTTCGTGGTTTTGTATCAATATCAAGCACTTTTAAGTATAACAATAGATATCAAACAACTTGTACAAACAGCATAGTACGTATCCAATTACTTCCCGGTTCCCTAGCCTCGTGCTTCTAAAATACTTAACTAACTTTCTAGTCACGTGTGTGCTAGTGTCAATAATGTCAACATTGCATCCCTCCCTTGATTTAAATATGAACTCTAGTACTAACTATAACAAAATATGCATATAATGTTTAAACTGTATCTTATCTGTTTTAGTCCAGGTCAATCATAAATGTTATTTCCATATCTGTACACCCGCTGTCTTTTTCTTGCCGGATATCTCGGACCATCATCTTGTCTCTGACCATTGTTCTGCCGCGGACAATCCTTCTGTCTCAGTCCATCATACTGTTCATGCTCTTCGTGGACATCTTCATCTGAGGAATAATTTTCTTCATCCATTATCTCTGTTGACTCCAACGATCTGCCATGTCTGGGGTGATACTTTTTAAAGAACGAAATGTTCCGAGTTATATATTTCCCATTCCTAATTGCTGTGATTCTGTTCCCACGGCGATTTGTGACTTCATATGGTATTGGATCGTATTTTGTGGACATTTTATTTGCTTTCAGTTGCCGCACCAAAACTAAATCACTTTTCTTGATGTCAGCACACTTAACTCTTCTTTTGGAATCAGCATATTCTTTTTGGTTCTTTTTCAACCTTTCATCTCTCTCCTTCACCTCTTGATGAAGTGAAGAATCATTTTCGACTGTCACTTGAGGTAATTTTGTTTGAATCTTACGGTTGTATAGCAACTCGGATGGTGACTTGCCAGTGGTGGAATGCGGGGTAGCTCTGTAGTTGAGCAAAAATTTAAACATTTCACGTTTCCAGTCTTTGTTTTCATGATGGGCAGATTTCACAGCCTTTACAAGTGGTTTCATAAAGTTCTCGGCTTGTCCATTTCCTTGGGGCCATAATGGTGAGCTTGGTTTATGTTTAATGCCGAGTTCTTTCAAGTACAGACTAAATTCATGGCTCTGGAATGGTGGACCATTATCACTCTTTAACACCTTTGGAATACCATGTGTGGCAAAAATTCGTTCAAGTTTCAATATTGTTGATTTTGCAGATGTTGAACTTACAATTTCCACCTCTG